GCTCATGAGGTGCAACTGATCTAGGAAGGGCTTTCTCTAAGGTTTAACCTTAATTTGGTTGTGATACTGTATGTCTTCGAGGAGCTGGATGAGGTTGAATGCAAGAACCTTGATGCCTTTCTTTTCTGTCTCTCTTGAAGAAGGTGCGGAACCTCAAGTTCAAGAACCCACTGACGATAATATAGTGCCAGGAAAATACATCGTGGTACGAATAAAAAAACGACCCATTACTCATTCGATTGGACTGGTATGTCAAATTAACACTAGAAAGTTGGGCTTAGCATACCTACCTAGAAAGCCCGAAGGGATCATTATGGTCCCAAGTTCCTAAATCAATAAAAACTAAGTTTAGAATTAACTATTTATTTGGGAATAAACAAAAAATAAAAATAAACAGTTTTAAGAAATTATATAAACTCTTGACGATAGAATTTGATTTAATTTTTTAGTTTCATTTTAAACATTTGGAACACCATACAGTTTGCAGTTTTTGGCATTTGCCACACATTGCCTTGTTACAGCCGTGGCACTCATTGGAAGTATGATTTCCTTTACAAAACAGTTTTAACTGACATTTTTTTTCTTTTTTGGCTAGTAACAGTGCTGGTGGTTGGTAAATCCGGTGGTGCTGGGTATAGTACCAGATTTCGGGAGACAAGGTATGGAGCCCATAATTCTTCACACAGCTGAAGAATAAACTTACGACGACTGATTTTACTTCCAGTAACTTCTTTATAAATGATCCATGCATTTATTGCTTCTAAGTCAAGAATTGGACATGTAGCTAGGAGCGATCTAAACAAATGGCACAGATCAATTTTAACCTGGAGACCATACCAACACAAAAGACCCAGAGGGTGACCTCCTATGAGATGGACAGATGATCCGAAAAGGACTGCCGGAAAAATTGGCTACAAGAAGCGTACAATAAACACCAATGGAAAGGAAGACTTGAAGAGGCTTATGTTCAGATGTGGACGTGAATGGCTAGACGAAGAAGAAGAAGAAGAAGAAGTCAAGAATGTTATAAAACACGTGCATTGGCCATCGTCTTAAAGCAACTTTTGTAGTATAAAGACGTGCCATTTGGTCCACTACATCAACCCCGTATTTTGTTTTATTATAAAAACTTACTGTTTGAGGAAGTTTTTTCCATCGACAGCAACATCCACTGATTGATGTAATGAGCTCAACAAAAGCACACTCTTTCCTTGGTATGCAGTAAGTGTTATCTTTTCGTCGCTCTGGAATATATGGGTAACATATAATTCTCCATTTTTACTCTTTACGCTTAGAAGAACTTCCTTTCTTTTGCGATTCAAAGTACCCACAAGACTTGTTGATTTTTTTTGCAATGCCTTGGCCAATTTTAACGATGTAAAGTAGTTATCTCTCGTAACATTTTTGCCCTTTCCCAGTTGATTTTCCATTAACCGCAAAACAACATGTTCACCAACACTTGTATCTTTCTTGCGTAGATGATTAGTGCCAGTATAAGGGTAACCATTTACAATATATTTTGATTCCACGCATGTCAAAAGCCAAAATTGTATGCCAAACTTATCCGGCTTATTTGATATGTACTGTGTGAACGGGCACCTGGCTTTAAAAGGCAGTAGTTGTTCGTCCACAGTAAGGTTTATTCCCGGTTTGTAACATGTACCACTATTTTCTATAAATCCATTCCAAACCGCAGAGGCTAAAGCAAAATTGTCGGTTTTCAATCGTTTAGATCTCGTTTGCTTTATGTCAAATCTGAGATATTTTTTAATATCCTTGAATCTGTCTCGTGGCATAGTTTGCCTAAAAAACTGAGGACCCCATACTGTTAACCACAAGCTGTTGGTTGGGAAATTTTTGGCGCCGTAGACTTCTCTTGCGTACCTAATAGCAAGGCCTCCAGTTCTTCCAAAGTTATAGTCCATGTGTCATTTTTCAAACATCGATGTGCTTCTGCAATAGTGCATTCTTTTATGTGACGTAACATGCTGTCGTTGATTATTAGATGCCAAGCACTTACCACACAATTGTTCCTCACGTTCCTTTTTGCATACGACGTAGGACCTAATTCCTCTCGATAAATGTTGTGCTGAGTGCGGCGTCCTGTAATGAGCAAACATTCAATGAATATGAAAATACTAAAAATCATAATCTTAGCAGGTACTGATCCAGAATCAATAACTTTTCACTTTGTTCCGTCTTTCGATTGTTCGGTGTCTCCGATTGAAATAGTTTCTCCTTGTTGACCTCTTTTTCTCTTGTGAATTGGCTTAGATGCACTTGGATTCACGATAATATTAGCTGACTCGTGCTGTTGAGTTGTAGAAGCAGTGTTTACATAAATTGGTGAGTCTTGTACAATAAAACTTTCTAACTGCTCTGAAGCATCAGAGTCACTTGAATCATTATTTTGTGGTGGTACATATCGTTCATCGTCTGACTCAATATTTTTTGCAAATTCGGATTCACCTCCCGAAACATTTTCTTGTATTTTTCGTATTTCTTCAAGAAAATCAAGCTCTGATAGTCCACGACGAAACATCTTTACAGTCGTCTTGAATTTTCATAATTGAACGAATGTTTCAATGTTCTAGAAACGAGAGTCAGCAGAACCTAATAAACTGCTCAATAAACAAAATACCTACTTTCAAGGAATAAACAGTATGTAACAAAATACCTTCTAGGAATAAACGTACATAAACATAATTTTATCTATTCGACAGAAAGTTAAAAAAAATCGTCAAATTTCCGAGAAAACGATAATAATTAATACACGGCCAGTTTCGCCCCTTCAGACTTCTATGGTAGGTTTGCTAGAAAATCCATTTAATAAATTTAGTAAACAATATTTTTTTGCGTTAAATAAGACTTTGTATCAAAATATTAAAAGTCATAAAATATGAAATTATTATTGTGTCAAATAAAAGAACTACAATAACTTCAAATCGTAACAGGGCCAAATTGGCCCCTCCGACTTTCTAGTGTTAATGCAGTGAAAATAGTCGTGATAATCAAATGTTTAAAACGATGCGTGGGAAATACCTTCAAATTTCGTAAGGAAAACGGCCTCTCCTGTTCGCTTATGATAAGATATTGGGAATACTGAGCGACCCAAAATCAGAAGGTCAAAATATCGTTACGTTTTGTAAGGATTTAAGGAGATTCTAAAATATTGCCTAGCTATTTGTTGTGCCATGATTTTTAATCAAAATTTTCGTTTCTGCAGTTTTAATGTTGCTTTTATTCTAAACCAGTGTTACGCCTTTCATTATAATAACTACCAAATGAAGTTTCCCAAGCAAACCACAGTTTCCCCGTCAGTATCCACAGTTACCCTAAATCAACGCGTAACTGTGGACCCTTACGTGTGAAAGAGGAATGACAAGCAATACTCTTCTCTCTCAATTCATTTTTCAACTTCTATTGAAAAGAACATACCAACAGATTACTAATACATATCTACAAACAAAAAGAAAATGGTTTGAAACCAAACTACAGAATAATAAACAATCAGAATACCCACTCTCCATGGAAAATTAAGTACGCGCAGACGTTCCGCCATGTTTTAGAGGGAACCAGTGTTGTTTATGTGGTGTACATAGAAAAATTAACCCGGTTTAATTGACTTACGGCAATCATAGACATACTATATAATTATATTAACATTGTTAAATATAATAACATAAATATAATATAACCTCACAAATCATATGTCTGTGTTATGCATCGAGCAATAAGACAAAAGAGGGAATGTAAAGGTAGTGGGGTAAACATATTGATAGACAGGAAGTGCCATCTTGAGAGGCCACTTTAGACAAGGATAGACAGTCTCTTTCCTTGTTTAAGAAGTCAAATTTAGTTAGGTTATGTTATTGTTTGTCCCAACTGTCACATGAAATTTTATTTATATTGAAATCTTTTACCAATTGTGTCAATTTTTAGACTATTATAGTTAATATTTAATTAAAACTTTCTCGTCTGAAAAATATTTTATAGCTATTGTTAATAAGTGTTGGAAAATTTAAATTTAGCGCCTTTGCATTTCCGGATATGTCCGCCATCAGAGGCCACTTTTTTGGTCTCCTTTTCATAACGATTAGATTCCCTCTTTTATCTTTTGCTCGATGGTGTTATGTGTTTCCTTCTAAAACATGGCGCGTGTGCTGAAAAACTTCAAAGGCGGCATTGAAAGTGGACATTCTGATTGTTTATTATTCTGTGACCAAACTAACTTCATACGGAACTTCAAAATAAAACTTTTTATATTCCTTCCACAGATGCCCCACTTTACCCTAAAATATTTGACATAATTTATTATCCCCATTATATATATCTAATTTTATTGTAATGATATAACATAATCTGTCATAAAATCAGTGAATGCAAAGGATATTAGTACATGTCTCCTTGACATTTCCCAATTTTAGATTAAAAATGTTCCGCAGATTACAAAAAAAAGCGGTTTTATACGCTATACACGTGCGATAATTGGAAATTTATTATATATATTTAAGTGTATAGATGCTTAGTATTGTATATATTAATTAAAATATCTTTACGTCTAACAAATAGTCGTGGTGTGTACAATGTATATATCTACTGGTAAAGGCGTGAAAAAATGTTTACAACAGAAGTACCGGTTTTTTTCTATTATACAATTGTGGTTTTATTGTATAATAAATTTATCATAATTAATAACAATAAGAAATAATGTAATTATTTAAGCTAAAAAACATATTAATGCGGATCTTGTACGAAAACATAAAAACTATTAATGAAGGTCACGCATTCATATTTCGTATTATTAAAGTATCAAAATGCAATTATCTGTAATGCCTTACAGTGTTGTGTCATCTTCATACTTAAATATGTTATTTGAACCGACATATTTGGGCATATAATTAGGTACCATAGCATAAGAATATTAACGGCCTCATTATTGAACCTTAAGGAACCCCAATATCAATATCATTAGATATTAAACATTTATGTCTTTTTAGGTTGCCGAATCTCCAGAATATACTCTTAATTTGGGAACAAGAGTTTTTCTAGACATCCCAGTAGCACCGCAGCAGAAATTTGCAAGTATTACCAAAGACTTCTTTAAAACTGACCTCATATTAACAAATTTTACTGATAAGGAAGGTTCAGCAGATAGCATTAACTTATGGGCAGAAAAACTTACAAACGGAAGGATACATAAACTCATCGATGCAGGTAGTAATAACAGCTTTTGTAATGTACCATATATGACCAAATATAGTTTTCGCCGAAATAAACAGTGCAGAAAGTGAATTGCGTAATTTAAATGTTTAAAATGTACACTATTGTGGGGTAAACATGCTTCATAACGTGTTTATTGATTATCTAAAGTATCAGTAAAGAATGATTGCTGTAGTTCTTGAAAACAGGTATTATTATCTTTTGTCGTATTTCTCCAATATCTGCTGGCGGACCTTCTAACTTAAATACTGATTCCTTTAGCATGCTCCAAATGCGCGCGTTATGTGTTAAAAGATCAGATGAATGATCAAAGTACTCGTCTGTTCCATAGTACAATGAATACAAGGTATGATATTGCGCATGACATTTGACAGCTGGCTCAGGAGTGTGACGTAGTCAAGACTGCTCGAAATGGCTCGAACTTATTATTACAGCTTAACGTACACATGAATTTTGAAATCATGGTCAAAAAATGATCGAATTTTTTTTAAATGTTTTGTTTTGGTTATAATTGAATAAAAAATATATTTTCAGTAGCGTAAAACCTTTATTTTTGCTGGAGATTCAGGCCAAATATTTATTTTTGTTTTCATACATATACTAGTAATATAAGCACTCTTTTTGTATGCAAATCCGTTGAAATTTGAAAATTTTGTGCAGAGGAAATACTGTAAATAGGTAAATAGTAGTAGATTTGCGTATTCTGATTCACTGTCACTCATTTCCAAGCAGGTTTACTGAAGTAAAAACAAAATAGATTACAATAAAGAAAAATCTGATTTATAATTCAATATGGTATTTTAGATGAGTTATAATGAAATTTAGTAACAAAATATACACATTACTATACCCTACCGATTATTGTGTGCAAAATTTACTAACCAAATAATATAATATGAAGTAAGGCACAAATTAGTTAAAACGCAAAACACCATAAATATCGACTTCAGACGACTTTACACCGATAATACAGAAGGCTTATATAAAAACAAAAGTTCGACAATAATATCGGTTATCAATAGTGACGATGCAAATTGGAAGTTGTGAGATAATAAATATATTTTCAACCAGCTTCATGGGAGTGGACTTAAACCAGAAAAAAATTGTTTAAAAACTTATTAATATCAGCTAATAATATTGATTGTGACGATAATGTAAAGACATTTTTCCTATGTTAAGAATTTATTTCAGAATTAAGGAGTTGAATCTTCGTTTAAAGGACAGTAAGGCAAAAAATAAAAGAAAAAAGTCAAAAATTGTAAAATAATGCATATCCATAAAGATTTATTATTGACAAATTTCGTATTACTACGAAAATTTATTATTGATAAAATTTATTCATTTTTACAAACAAAGGACGGTATTAGGACTATATATACAAAATAACGATTTGACTGCACTGTTTCACACTGTATTTTAAACCCCACTTTGTCGACTGACCCATTTTTTATTGTTACTCAATGACAACTATATATTTTCAGCTGATCTTGCAGACGCTTTAATGGTAATAGCCAACGCTGTGTATTTTAAAGGGACTTGGAAATATCAATTTCCCAACCAGACTGTAGATAAATTTTACGTTCCAGATGGAAACAATTTCTTTTCCATTCAAGCTCGGTTTATGGCTGTAGAAGATAAATTTTATTTTCATGAATCTCCGCTATTGGACGCTAAAATTTTAAGACTGCCTTATAAGGTAAATATTTATACATTTTATTATCTTTATTAAAGGAAAACTTTGGTTGAAGGTTTTAATATTAGTTACTGAATGAAATTAAACAGTAGAATTTTGAATAATATTATGCTTTAGATATTTTCTGTACCAATATTGTGTTTCACTTTGAAGTAGTCTGAAGAAAAACTAGTATTTGAAACAAATATTGAATATTTAAACCAAGAGTAATCTTTTTTTAGTAATCAAATATATTTTGGTGTGTCATACCGAATCATCAGTGATAATTAAAAAGTTCATGATGGGTGACATTATATATAAGCAAAGATTTATCTTACAAATTTAAGATTAAACTGGCATGTAAAAAATCCTCGAAAAAACAAACATATCCCCATTGTAATTTTTTTTATAATTCAAATATTAAACAATTTTTAATCCTTTATAGTTTATTCGTCTTCCGGGTTTGGACCGTGTCATTTGTGAGTGACCCAAAAGTGGGTTCATCTCGACGTTTCGCTACAATTGTATGTAGCTTCTTCAGGAGAACAAAATCCCTACTTAAAATATATCTCGTGAGGAATTCATAGCTCTCAAAAATCTCCGTTCTCTTTCTGAGATAATAATCCTTCCTGCAGACAAAGGTAATGCCACAGTCATCCTGGATACTCCTTCCAACATAGAGAAAGTAAACGACTTACTTAGGGATACATCCTGTTATAATACAATTTCTCGAGACCCCACTCCTAGAGTCGAACGCGAAATTTCCCATGCCATCAAACAATCCGATCTTTCCGATGATGTTAAGAAGTCCATAGTTCCGAAAAACTCCATCTGCCCCAGAATTTACGGTCTTCCCAAAATCCATAAAGATAACGTACCTCTTCGTCCCATTGTGACTACGATTAACTCTTCTACATACAAACTCGCAAAGTACTTGTCGAATCGGTTTAAGACCTATACTGGTCGTACCTCTTCTTATGTCCGAAATTCCACACATTTCATCACCTTAATCTCCTCCCTCACGGTCGATCCCCAAGACATGCTCGTCAGTTTCGATGTATCATCCCTATTTACCGATATCCCCATACATGACTCTCTAGTTGTTCTGCGAGATCACTTGACCAATGATAACAAGTCTTTGGTTTTGGCAGATCTTGCGGAAAAATGCCTCCTTTCAACATATTTTTCTTTTAGAGGCAATTTCTACAAACAAATATCTGGAACACCAATGGGTTCTCCCCTTTCCCCTGTCATTGCTGACATTTTCATGGAAGCCTTTGAGTCTTTAGCCCTAGAATCTTACCCCTTAAAACCAAAAGTCTGGTTCCGCTACGTTGATGATACATTTATCATCTGGCCCCATGGTCAACATACCCTTTCTCCCTTCCTAGATCATCTTAACTCACAACATCCGAGTATAAAACTCACAATGGTTACCTACATGCTTCATCACACCACCACCCTGCCCAAAAGAATTCTGTGATCAACTCTCTCATCCATTGGGCCATTTCGATTTCTGAACCCGACAACCTTAGAGAAGAACTTGGCCATCTGCAAAAAACCCTTGTCGCCAACGGTTACTCCAAGTCCACAATTCAAAATATTACACACCGACATCTACATCCCCCTTTACACCCTAGGACGACAAATTCAGAATCTTCGGGTAATACTCCTATGGCTTTTCTTCCGTATATTCGAAATGTCACTGATAGGATTGGCAAAATTCTTCGCAAAGAAGGTATCAGGACTACTTTTCGACCACCCAAGAAAATCTCACAATATCTACCCTCTCCTAAGAACCCATTACCGCCCCTATCTTCCTGTGGTGTCTATTCTATTCCTTGTTCATGGGGATATGTGTATATTGGCGAAACTGGTCGTTCCGTCAAAACTCGGATTCAAGAGCATCAAAGATGCATTCGATCAGGTCTTTTCTCCCATTCTGCAGTTGCAGAACACTGCCAAGAAACCGGTCATTCCATATTGTTCGAAAAAACCCATATTATTTCTAAGAGCCCCTTCTTTTATTCCAGGAAAATCCGCGAATCTCTAGAGATCCGAAAAAATCCCCATAATATCAATCGAGAGGAAGGATACTACTTGTCTCCCATCTGGAATCTCAGTCTAGAGCCGCCATCCGGTCCTGCTACCACGATGCAGCCACATGATTGGCCGGCGCGCGCTTCTTGACATTAGCGCCACGAAGTGTGCCGACACGTCCCGACACGACAGGTCACTGCGACTATAAATAGAGCGGTAGCGGAGTAATCGTCGGATTCACTCCCCGCCTCTCGACGCGTTAGTGTTCTGAGCTGTTGGACGTGAATCCCTGTCCTGGCATTTGGTTTTCACCTCTGGCTGCGTTGAGTAGTTGAGTTATTGTGACCAAATGCCCATCTTGGTAGTTAGTATTCGCCTCTGGTTGCGTTGAGTAACTGAGTTACCGTTGCTAACTACCCATCTTCCTGTCTTTTGTTTTCTTTTTCTTTGTTTTTCATTTTCCTGTCTTTTGTTTTCTTTTTCTTTGTTCTCCTGAAGAAGCTACATACAATTGTAGCGAAACGTCGAGATGAACCCACTTTTGGGTCACTCACAAATGACACGGTCCAAACCCGAAGACGAATAAACTATAATTCTGACTCTGGCCGTGGAAGCCTACGATTTCAATTTTTAATCCCTTTACCCCTGTTGCTGCGACGCCTATGGCAGTATTAGCAAATGTATACGTGGGTGGTCGTGTTTACCATCGGGAAATTTTATTGGAATCTACCGACTTATTAAAGACGCCGGGTTGGTTAATCCTTGGCTTATCCTTTTTCTTTAAAAAGATTTTATTTTCCTTACGTATTAAATTACTAGTACCGTAATTACCTTGAACCTTTCGATGTTCGTTAGAACCTTACCTTCCTAGAAATACATAGAGGCTGTGATGTCGTTTTTGAGTGGGAGATACCCCATTTTATTTTTGGGTAGTTTGGTAATTTTTTGAGGAGGAACAGCACTTCTGGCAAGGCTATCTTTGAGGAAAGACGCTTGTTACCTTACCGCCTCTGTGCATTTTTTCTCTAAGTGTGTATACACTTAAATATTTAAGTTGATGAATCTAATACCATATTAGATTAAATATTGGTATAAACCACTTTTAATTTAATTAACTTCAATAACTGTAAGTTATCATAATCATATTATCTTCAACTATCTGGGCAAATCTACGTCGACTATGTCTTCTACTGTAAGGTTAACTACTGAGTTAGCATTCAATCAAGGAACATTTAATATTTTCATACAAACTTTCAATCAGCTAGTAAGAACTTCGCACTAATAATTATTACGAACATTTAATTCTCAGTAAGAACAGTTTATCAATAAACAACAGTGCGAACAGATAATTATCTAAAACCAAGTTCGGGTTGGTTTAATTTTATAATACAGCATTCTTGTAACCTTTTTGTATTCTTGTGAATTTAAATTTGATTAAGTTTTGTGATTTGCTATAATTGTTATTCATTTTTGTTTTATTTATTTACTGTACCCGTTATCTCAAGATAAGCCCATAAACAATCTAAGGGAGATTTCTTTAATCAACTTTAGCTGAATATTTTTAAATATCATCAGGCTATAACTTTGCTATTTTTGATGATTGTATGACTTGTATCACCTCAGAGCATGTTGTAATATTCAAAGGTAAACTAATCTTATCGTCTTCACCATTCTTTAATTGTGCCCTCCACATTAAATTAATATTATTATACCATGTTCATCATGTACCATGCAGTTTGTCTCTTATCGTTTTATGCATGTTAAACGTGTCGTATCTATTTTTGATTTCTTTAATTTCATGAGACTGTTTGGCTAGATATTGATATACTCTCTGAATGTTTTTTGAGCGAAGTCAAATTTGAATATCCGCCTTTTTTAAAGCCATAATGGGAATTTTTTTTCAATTTTCTGGAATGGTAAGAGGCATTGTCCATCACAGTTACGGCATTTTTTCCAGTGTTGGTAAAATCTTTTGGAGCCATCTTTTAAACGAGTCATCTCATCCATCTCCTTATGGTAGTCTCCACTTTTCCTCGATTCAAAAGCCCACAGTGCATCTGGAACAAAACCATTCTCACTAACGATGTGACAGATTATCAATATTCTACCTTTTCTTAAAAATTCAGAGAAATACCAGAGGTCACGGTTTCGATCATCCACCGAAACTTTTGATTTTGTATGGCCAGCATTTATCCAAGTATGTTTCGTCCAAGTAATAAATTGTTCTATTTTCATTTCTATATTGTTTTATCTTTTGCAGATAATCTCTTCGCCATATTACAATTTCATTTCTGTTGAGTAGCAAACTGTTTCTTCCATGTTTTTAAAATTTAAAATTTAATGTTCGTAAGAGTTTGTAAAACGTCATTATCATTATTCACATTTCTTATGACTTGACTCTTGATATATACTGCTGTAGATGATCAAAATCATCATCAATCTAAAATATCTGATCGTGCCGAATTTTTTTTATACAAAAAAAATTATTTTTTAATTATAAATAATAATTATAGTCCGCACAACATTATATCGGCACACCTTGTTTTTTATAACTTTTAACACACCAAATAATTTTTATTCATTAAACAGATCAATGCAGATCGATATTATATCGTATCTTAGGCTATTATAAATGGTTTAATATACTTAGAGGAATTATATTAAAGTAGGGAAAACTCTTGTATTAGCTATAAATAAATAAGTTCTTAAAAAATGCTTTACACTATCAACAAACGAAAGAACAGTATTGCACAATAACTACTGTGACTCTTATTTATAGCCAATAGGAAGGCGTTCGTCAAGTACAGACTCAAATATCACGCGATGACTTGTGTTTATTCATTTATTCTGTCCGTAGCTTGAAATTTAATTTACAATAGTTACAAAAATAATTGCTGGATAAAAGTAATGAACCCTCTCCCCGTTGATAATGATTCACACTCCATAGTATAGTCCACTTCGCTTGTAAACTCTATCAAATATTTAAATTGTCTAAACCTTCTCTAATATGATACAAGTTAGACAATAAAAATAAATATAGACTCACTACTACTAACATTTCCCTTATTTCACTAATTACACTTTTAAATTTAGTTTATATTTTTTTAATAGTTAATTTAATAGTTGATAGTTTAATACACTTTGTTTAACTTTTAGGGAGGGCGCTACTCCATGTTTATAGTATTACCGAACTCTAAGGGTGGCTTGCCAAGTTTAATTAAGCAAATAAACATAAATAACTTAAAAAGTTTGTTGTATTTGATGGATCAACGTCTCGTTAATGTCAAGATTCCCAAGTTTCGCTTCGATTTTCAAGCAAGGTTTAGTAGAACTTTACAAGAGGTAAGTAATAAATGTATGAGTTATAAACACTTTAATTGGGTTTCGGTGTTATATTAGTAATTAGAACGTATTTACACCTATTTCAAGAGTAATTAACTGTCATTTTATATAATGGGATTAGCTTAAAATACTTTAATAATATGAGCTGATATTCAAAAATAAATTATAAAGAAAATGAATGAAGAAATGTGCTGCAAATACAAAGTGCATCTATAAAATTTAAATACATTTTTAATGGAAACTAAATTAATGAAAAAAAAAACGATTACATTTATTAATTTTTTTTTATTTCGAAAATATGTGTCTCGTCAGCTAATGGTCATTGACACAGGTAGAATTTACATTCATGTTTACATGGTTAATACTTTACATTGGTTATAAGTTAGTTACAATACATTTTTTATAATACATTTTGTTTTATATTTAATTGTATAACTTTGGGTTTTTTTTTAAGTTTAATACATTTTCATACTTGCTGCTGTTTGAGATAAGTGTATGTCTTTTAGGTTGTTACCAAGATTATATTTTCTTCTGGCGGCTAGGTAGTGTTGACAATCAAGAAGTACATGTGTTACGGAAGTTGTGGTGTTGCAGTATTCTCACAAAATCTGATAACTGGAATTCATTAGGTGTTCATGTGTAAACTGGTGTGTAAACTGGTGTGTAAACTGGTGTGGGAGCTGGTGGTAGAAAATGTAGGTGAAAGGGTTGGTCGACAACAGATTGATATCTAATTAAGGAATTAACATCTGTATAGTGAACGGTACCATTCTAGGATTATTAGTAACTGGTAATTGTCTATTACAGATGAGGTTTCTTCTGGGATTTGCTGACTCTAGCGAAATAGAAGTTGTTGTCGTCTTAGATGAAGCAAAGGTTCAAAACATTATACATGAATGCTTTCCACCAGACTGGATGGGAATGCTCCTAAACAGAGTCGAAGGAAGTATTTTGGACTACATTAATGAACGTAGTAGTGACTTACTTGATGACATGTAGAGAACACTGCCATAGTCAAGTTTGAAGCAAATAAGAGCTTGATATATTTTTTGGTTGTGTTTCCTCATCAGCTCTAAAACTAAAATGAGCTGGTGATTTAAGGAGATTCATTCGTTGAAGGCAGCTACCCTTAAGTTCTCGAATGTGTGGTCTCCAAGAAAGTTTTTTATCGAAAAATAATGCTTTATTTGGTCTACGGCTTGGAAAAAATTTCCATTAAGAGTAATGGTTGGAGATTGCGTGTTTTGTCTTCTAGTGAAATAAATAACTTTGGATTTGGATAGGGAGAAGTTAAGGCCGGATTGACTGACCCAGTTGTTTATTTTACTTAGCATGTTTTGTAGTAAAGTATTTGTGCTAGATGTGAGCTTTCCATGACAGAATAATATTATGTCGTCAGCATATACTCCTGATTGTACAGGGTCGTTTAGGAATGAACTAAAGTCGTTAATACTTAAGAGAAATAGTGTGCTGCTAAGGACAGACCCTTGAGGGACACCTTTTGTGGTTGTGTTGTGAGGAAGTTTTGCCATTAGTAATTACTTAAAAGGATCGCTCTGTGAGAAATTTTTTTTAACCGAATATATATTACCGGGTAGCTTGTTCTGGTTTAGTTTGTTTAGTATCACCGAAATGGGTATAGAGTCAAAAGCGCTTTCGATGTCACGGGCGACAGCAATGACTTTATTTTTGTTAGATAGCGTAGTCGCAATTGTTGATTGCAGAAGTACAAGATTGTCTATGGTGCATCGATTTGGTCTGAAGCCTGATTGAAATTGGTCGAGGATTTTATTTTGTTCGAGGTACCAAAGTAATCTTTTATTAACCATTTTTTCTAGAAGTTTACATAATGTACAGGTGATTTATTTAATTATTTCAAACATAATGAGCAAAACAAAGACTGCGGCAGAAGAAACCTAGTTCAGAAACAGAGTTCAGAAGTTGTAGGGCTAACAATAAATACAAATAAAACAAAACTACTCATACAAACCAGATCAAATAGACAGGCGCAACAACAACAATTTATAGACGATATAGAATACGTGAATAGATTTACGTATTTAGGAATGGATCTGGTCGAAAATAATGAAGAAGAACCGAAAATAAATAGAAGGCTTATGCTGGCAAACAAAGCCTATTTCGCGATGGGCCACATATTCAAATCGCGAGACGTACACCGGAAAACAAAACTCCGGGTATATAAAACAATAATCCGACCCATAGTAAATTATGGGTGTGAAACATGGGTTATAACACAGAAATCTACCAATGCATTAGACGTGTTCGAAAGAAAAATATTGCGTAGAATACTGGGTCCAATAAAGGAAAATAACAACTGGCGAATTAGATATAATAACGAAATATACGAACAATACACTGAACCAACACTAGCACAATACACTAGACTGCAGAGATTACGATGGGCAGGACATGTGGCCCGCATGCATAAGAACAGAATCCCCAGAAAATTACTAAACGCAAGAATGCAGGGAAAAAGACCTGTTTGAAGATCAAAAAAGAGATGGGAAGACGAGGTAGATGAGGATGCCAAAAATCTCCTAAAAACGCGTTCATGGAAAAGAACAGCAGTAAATAGAGATGTTTGGAGAGGTTTAATGAAGGAGGCCAAGGCCCGGCTTGGGCTGTAGTGCCATTGGATGGATGGATTTATTTAATTATCAAGTTTTAATAGAGGTTTTATGTTGCCAAAATGCGACACCTGCAAGACATATGACGAAACGCTGATTAAAATAAAAGCAGCAAAATTTGAAAATAATGACGAATTAACAGCTTCTTTGACGACAAATTTAAATGTTTACGGGCAAAAGCAATGCAGACTACAGGAGTAGCTTTTTCCTGCAGAGAAGTATGGCTTTATACTGTTGGTATACATGACTGTGGTTCGGGAAAGGGGACATGTTTGTATGGACGTAAGACACAACTAAAAGAGGTAGTGAATGAAATTGGAAGAGCTGTTTTAAAGTCAGGCATGGATGAACTGGTGTTGTTCACTGACAAAATAAAAATTGGACATTAATGGCCTTGTGGTTGCTAATGGTTAAAGAAAGGAAATTAAAAAAAAAAACTATCCACCACTTTCTGGTTAGCGGTCACACACACTTACCATCAGATCAGGACTTTGCTCTCGTAGAAAAACACCATGGGAAATATGCTCCATTAATATATTCCCTATATTAAAAAATCGAATAAAATAATCATTTTGAGGTCACAATATTGAAACGAAATGACTTTAAACACGTCAGTATACTACAACAGAATGCCAGAAGAGCGACCGAAACTGACGACGGTAACAAACTTGATTTTTCAGGGTTTTTCATTTATGTTCCACATTAATACTCCCAATGCTTGTTTTTTTAAGCACGCTATTACTGGTGCATACCGGGAAGTTAATTTATTAAAAAAATCAAGGCCGGCACTGTTAACGCTCGATTCGTTAACACTTACATACAAAGAGCCTGTCAAAATTTCAAAAAAAAAAACATAGACGACATAAAAACTTTATTTCTATATATACCATTATTATGAATCCCTTCAGCTTGACCAAAATGAGTATGGTGAAGCAGAATTGCTGGAGTAACATAATTCTAGTTGGTTCCAGGTTAGCTAAGATCTCTTCTGTCAATCGCTGTTCTCTTTAATACTTCCATTATTTTTTCACGCCTGATTTATGTTAACGGCGTTTACAAATCCAAAGTGATTGGGCGCAATGTGTTCCTCGCATTTTCGGTTAATTCTTTTACGGATGACTTTTAAAAACAATTTCAGCAGATGGCTCATTATATTTATGGTCTTCACAATCTTTTGCTCCTGTTTTTTAGGTAATGGTACGAACTCCGATTTGAGCCACTCTAGTGGTATTTTTCCTGCCTTCTAAAAATACGGATGCGTTCAAATAACTTTGGCTTTGGGGACAAACAGATGCCAGCAAATTTTTTGAAATCTGCTGGAACATATATGTCCCCACAGTAATGAAAGGGTTAAGGAACACTCCCTATTGATTTATTATCGAATTTATTTTATTTGGCTGTTCCACTCTGTATATGTGATTGTGTGTAAATATGAACATATTATAAAGCACTATCAATTTCTAAATATTTATATGGAACACAAAATATTTACACAAACAAGTTAATTAATGAGATGCATGTGTGTATTCAAAATTTTGTGTAGATATATTTATATAAATAAAATATGGGAAATGCTCGTCAATTGGACTAATAAATTTAATTAAAATATTGACTACAGCATAATAATGAACTTAACGAGACCTTTATATACATTTCATTTATACAAATGAAACTTTGACCTTTAAAATATTTAAATCGGTAAATTTTAATTCCTTATCGGCGTGAAATCTTTTGGTTTTTTGGTTTAAATTTATTGTACATTTAAAAGTATTTAAATCATGAATGTGTTGCTTGTGTGAGTCCATTTCAAATAGTCACAATCAATTTAATTTAACTATTCAGACTACCGGTTTCGCTTTCTACAATATGCAAAGCATCTTCAGGTCTCGATACAAAGTTAAATAAATGCTGAAATGATGAAAACCCATATTAGGGTGTTGTCTAATAAAGATAAACAAATTAGATGTTATAAATTACAATAATTTTGCCAATATTACATGTCTGTGGTTTTTTTTTTATGAATAAAAATGAATAAAAAGGTATAAAAAGTTTAAACAGACAAGGTAAGACCCACAAATTGTTATAAAATAGTCTATTAGATTGTAATAAATTAATAAATGAGCAAATAAATAAACATTACTTACATGCCGGTACTCTATTAATTGATGGATGGAAGATATTTAATTAAATATCTAAAAATATTTATACACACCATGACAGATAACTCACTTCAACACTATTTTCAAATAAAAATTTTGTAAATTTGTTATACGTTTGATTACAAAATGTACATGTTTAGTTGCCAAAGAATCACTGTAATTTGTTCTGTAATTTAGACTAAACTGAGTTAGTTATAATGTGGGATGTATTTCAATTATTCGTATTGTTACGTTTAAATTTAATTAATTAAAGATTGTTAAAGTATGCCAATATTTAACACATCAATTTACTTTTGATAGCTTAATTAAAACAATTTAGAGACATTCATTAATATCAGCATATTTCATAAAACTGGATAACAACTTGCAGTATTGAGAAACAGAAGAAGAACTGTCACATGCTAACCTACATATGTCAAATTTACCAGTAAAATCTAATAGATAACATAAAAACTCATTGTGCCCAAGACTGAGATGTAGTGCATAAAAGTCCTTCCCCCTTTTAAATTTAATGTTTGTTTCGTCCCTTCTAAGTGTTTTCTGTTTTAGTGTGTTTAAATTGTCCTTAATTGTTTTAACTTTAATATTTTATATACTCGACTTTGCAATAATCTACCATTTTGCCAATAGGACTTTATCAAAGAAATTTGATAATTACAAGTTGAAATAATTCCACACCCACACAATTTGTACATCTAAGCTTATTCATTGTCATAAAACTGTCACCTTCATAAAACAAATACCCAATAAATAACACACATTCCATAAATATATCTCTCGAATAAGTATAAATAACTTTTAAATAATACAATGGTATATAACATCATTTTCATTTAACAAACAATCACACACCTATCTCTACTTCATTGGATCAAATCTATCTCCTCAAGAACTTCCCGTTTACTGTCAAACAACTACAATAGCGGACTTAAGTTCTCCATTCAACAATACATGACAGTTTCAACCATGTTCTACCATCCATCAATTAATAGAGTACCGGCATGTAAGTAATGTTTATTTATTTGCTCATTTATTAATTTATTACAATCTAGTAGACTATTTTATAACAATTTGTGGGTCTTACCTTGTCTGTTTAAACTTTTTATACCTTTTTATTCATTTTTATTTATTTAAAAAAAAACCACAGACATGTAATATTGGCATAATTATTGTAATTTATAACATCTAATTTGTTTATCTTTATTAGACAACACCCTAATATGGGTTTTTATCATTTCAGCATTTATTTAACTTTGTATCGAGACCTGAAGATTCTTTGCATATTGTAGTAAGCGAAACCGGTCGTCTGAATAGTTAAATTAAATTGATTGTGAGTAAGTCTTATTTATTATTTCTTTACCTATTTAAAAATATTTCTTGGCCCTTAGAATTATGTTACTATAAAAAAAATTTAATATATCAGTATAAAAGCTTCGCTTCAAAAAGTGAATAAAACAGGGGTCCGGAAAAAAATAACTTCTTGCGGTTAACAATAGGAGCTAAGACAGACATTTACTTCTTGGAACCGGGATGAATGTTCCCAAATAATAGCCGACCTTTTGTAATGGAGAAAATATCTAAATACGGAATAAAAAGTGTTCAGTATTCAGTTGTTTAAACATAGTTGAGTCTGGTTCTTATATTTAAACGATTAGATTTAATAATAACCCCTCATTTCTCCCTCATAATTTTCTGTGTGTAATTATTTGCGAATAATTAAGGCTACAAAAGCAGCACACAAAACTATTTATTAACTTTTATATAAATACCGTGAGTTTGTCTACGGAAACTTTGAATTATATTTGCACGGAAGTTCGAAGTCAATGTTATTCTGGTGAAGTTAAGCCGAAACTTCTATCACTCTAGTTTATATTGGTTTAATTCCAGTTTTACAGGAGATGCTACCACAAATACGGAATTTAAGCCAACTGGGTGATATAGGGGAGTATTTTATAAAATTAATTATGTATCGTAGGTGGGAAAATCACAGGGGCTAAAAACTCTTAATTGAAGGGTTCAGCGCAAAAAGTGCTTAAGTCACATTTTTATGTTTCTAGTTATAGGTGTTTAAAAGTTTGAAATGGTTACCACGTCTAGATTTTTAAAAACTAACACGTGTGATTTTTTTTATAAACAAAGTACACCTTTAAGCTATATACTAAACGAAACAACGTATTGATGAAAAAAAATGTATTTTTAAATATAGACTTAATTACTTTTTGTAAAATTGGAAGCATCACCGTTACTAATATCTACAAACCACGGCTATACCCTGGCTAGCTCAAGTCATTGACACACATCCGCACCCGTCAATATATGCGGGGGACTACAACAGTTACCATGAACAGTGGAAATATAAACAATGCAACAGCAATGGAAATGTACTAGTAAAATGGGCGGAGGACGAACATCTATCACTAAAATTTGACGCCAAAGACCGACCTACATTCATGTCAGCAGCATGGAAGAAGGAGTACACCTATACTGACCTATGTTTTGTCTCTACTAATAAAAACGGACAACCTCTATCAGTCTCTCGAAAAGTAATGGACGACTTCCCACACAACCAACACCGCCCAGTGATCTTAGAGGCGGGAACCCAGATTCCTATAGTCACATCCATCCCTCGCTCACGTTGGAATCTAAAGATAGCCATTTGGGGTAGCTTTTCTGCGGAACTGGACAAGACTAGGAACCAAACTCTACCAAAACAAAGGTTTCCAGTTTTCACCTAACTAACAAACTTGCAGGAAGAACACTGAACGTACAATTCGAAAACACCATACTGGCCTACAATAAAACACCAAAGTACCTTGGGGTGACTCTTGATAGAACTCTATCTTTCAAGGAATATCTGTCAAAAACAGCGCAAAAACTTAAATTCAGAAACAACATCATCCAGAAGCTGTGCGGCACAACATGGAGAGCATCGGCTTCCACCTTGCGATCATCTGCCCTGGGCCTTGTTTTCTCAACCGCGGAATACTGCTCTTCAGCCTGGCTTAACAGCCTACATACACACAAAGTAGATGCCCAATTGAATAACACAATGAGAATGATTGTTGGCGTTATCAAATCCACCCCTACGCAATGGCTCCCAGTCCTGAGCCACATTCCACCACCCAGACTACGGCGTATACACTCCCTCACTAGTGAGTACCAAAAGATACTTAGCAACGAGACCCTGCCAAGATATAGATGCTGCCAACGGTAACCGTTTGCGCTCCAGGCGACCGCCAATAAAAACAACAGAGATTGCAGTGGAAAATGAGTTCAACTTAACGACCACTTGTACTCGAGAATGGATATTCTTACGGTGCCTTATCCTTAAGGACGTTGGCCATTACATTTGCCTATTTAATCGTATTTGTAGCAGCCCTAAATAGTTCTATGGAGGTCATGTTCGTCCATTGCCGTAGGTTTTTAAGCCAAGAGTTGCTCTTCTCCCTGGTCCTCTTTTGCTATTGACTTTGCCTTCGATTATAAGTTGGAGCAGTTCATACTTTTGATTTCTTATGATGTGACCAAAATTTTGTGTTTTCTGTTCTTTTATTATAAGCATAAGCTCTCTTTCCTTATTCATCCTCCGCAAGACTTCCGCATTTGTCGTATGGCTCATGTAGGATATTCTGAGCATTTTACAGTAACACCAGAGTTCGAATGCTTGGATTCTTTTTTGTGTTGCTTCTGTCATTGTCCAGGCTTCAACACCATAGAGCAAGGTGGAGAAAACATAGCACTTAAGTATTCTAGTTCTCAATTAGATGCCCAGCTGGAGGTTGCATAGAACTTTTTGTAAAACATTTGTAAAACATTGAACGTGCCTTTTCCAGGCGTATTCTTATCTCTAGTGAGTGGTCCCAAGTTTCATCAAGATTACTTCCAAGGTACGTTGTTCTTGTTACTCTTTCCAGATCTGTTCCGTCGACATTGACCTTCACCCTTCTGTTTTGGTGCTTGCTGATGACCATCGTTTTTGTCTTGATAATGGATGGAACAACAAAATAGCAGCTTACCCTTCATCACACAAAAACCACCAGGTTTTGACTTACCACGCAACACATGGACTATGTTGAACCGAATCAGAAGCAAACATGGTAGATACGGTTACATGATGCACAAATGGGGTAAACGACCATCCCCACTCTGTGACTGCGACAAACCATCTGTCGCATCACAGAACAGTGTCCCACAAGATCCTATCAAGGCAGGTCAGAGGATTTCCTAATGGCGACTCCAGAGTCGATAGAATATACAAATAAGTTAGATGTTCGTTAGTAAAGATATATTTATATGTTTTATACAAATTATGTGTAAATTTAAATGTAAATGTGTCAAGTGCCATACGATAAATAAATAAAAAATACTTTTTGTGAAAAAAAAACATCTAAAAATCAAAAACTGGAATTATAACAAAAATATATTTCTGAAAATCTTAAGTATGCATCAAATATTACTCAACATCTGAAATTATGAGTCATACATATGAGTGATTAAAATTTTAAGATATGAAATTTTACTCAGTAAGATATTTTTTATTAGAAATCTGTATATTATTTGGTTTTTTATAATATTGAAGCCAATAAATGTTGTGCCAAAGCTTTTAGGACATACGTTATATAAAGAAACAATGTACATAGCTGCAAATTTTTTTACATAAGGTATTTTTTACAAAAACCCCTATAAATATACTTTCTAACCAATAGACTGGTTCTATTTTTACTCTCCTCTTACCATAAAGGAGTGACACGCTAGAAAACACATTTAACAAAAACCCAACGTTGAGTCAATGAATATTCATAGAAACTAATTTCAGTTTGGTTTACTTCAAATGTTTCAAAACACGGCCAGTTTCCCGGGTATTGCCAGAGGAGATAGCACCATTTTGAGAAAATTAGTCGTTTCGGACATTGTACAGAAATCTGGCATTGAAGTTAATGAGTATGGAAGTGTTGTCTACGCCGCCTCAGGTAACTTTTTTATGTTTATTTAGTTTTAGTTTAGTTGTTTGTTTACGTCGATTTAAAGCGTATATTTGAGAATAAATAGAACTGACGCTTATGTTTACGTTTGTTTATTTTTATAATATTTAGTTGGTGAGTTTCTGTGGCGCACCCAGGGGAGGTTTTGGGGGTTAAAACTTGTAACTTGTCTTTCGCACACAATACAAAAAAAAACCAAAATGCTTGGATAATTAACGCTTATATATACATTACATATACAGTCAAAATATCAACAAAAATAGCCAAACACATAAAAAAGAAAGGAATAACACCAGCTTTCAGAACAAATAACAACTTATTCAAATATATTAAAAACAACAAGAGCCAAAATAAAAAACACTTACACAGTGGTGTGTACAAACTTAAATGTGGCGCCTGGGCAAAAAATTACATCGGTCAAACTGGTCGAAATTTTAATAAACGAATAGCAGAACATAAAAGGGCTTTCAATAATAGAAAAACAGATTCTACATACGCACTTCACCTTCTAGATCATAATCATTCTTTTAGTGATGAATTAAAAATTCTTCACATTCAAAAATAGCCTTAAACTAACAGTTCTCCCCTCCTCAACCTATTTCATTAGAGACTATAAAGTGTAAACGCCAAAAATAGATCATTTGAGAAAAGCAATCAGCCGAAACAGGTGTAGTGATAGGGAGTTTAAAATAAATTTTGTGGAAGTTTTGAAAACAAATTTTTCAGTGTTTTATTGTTACATAAGCAGTATTGCAAAATTTACTGTACATGAGCAAAATAGTAAGGCTTTAAGATATCTAGGTAGACAAAATTCCTAAGTTGCCATAGAACATAACAGTTCACAGATAATCTTCCTACTATATAATCAACGGGAGAGCTCCAAGACAAATTAGAATCCAAGTAAACACCTAACAACATAGTGGAGTGGCTATTTACCACTGACCCATTGTCAAGTTTTACTAATGGACTCATCTGCATAGTAGAAGATGAAAAGGTTACCATATTGATCTTTGATCTATTTAAGATTAGGGCATTATTTAAACAGTAATGAGTCATACTTTTTGCAAGACAGTTTGCTTTTTGTACTACATGAAAAAAATTATTGGAGTTTAGTGCAACTGTGGCATCGTCAGCAAATTGAGTGACATAACAGCCTGATTGCTATTCCACGTTTTCTGCTCGAACGCTTATTCATCATCAATCAGCCAATCGCGTCCACTGCTGGACATATGCGTCCCTCAGTTCTTTCCAGTGTTCTCTACACTGGGCCGCTTGTAGCCAGTTTCCCGCTACACGTTTAATGTCATCGGTCCATCTAGTCGGTGGTCGTCCTCGGCTTCTTTTATAATTTCTGGGCCTCCATTCCATAATACGTCTTGTCCCACCGTCCATCTTGTGTTCTGGCTAAGTGCTCTGCCCAGTTCCACTTAAGCGTCGTGGTTCGTTCGATGACGTCTTGAACTCCTGATCTTCGCCTGATTTGTTGGTTTGTTATGTGGTCTCGAAGGCTCACGTTCAGCATTGCACGTTCCATGGCTCGTTGTGTAACTCTAAGTTTATTCGCAGATTTTTGCGTGAGTGTTAAAGTCTCTGCTCCATAAGTTTGTACAGGTAAAACACATTGGTTATAAACCTTTCGCTTGAGACACATGGGAATTGAACTTTTTAGAATATGGCTTAATTTGCCAAATACTGCCCATGTTAGACCTATTCGCCTCTGTATTTCATGTGTTTGATTGTCTCTGCTTATTTTGATTTCGTGTCCCAGATATTTGTAAGTGTCTGTTTGTTGTATGGTATTATTGTCAATAGTTATATTTCCACTCATTACAAGATTTGTTATAATTTTAGTTTTCTCAAAGTTTATCTTTAATCCTGCTCTTTCAGACAGACTTTTAAGCGAATGCATCATAGAAACTGTATCTTGTAAGTTATCTGCGATTAATACAACATCATCTGCAAACCTTAGGTGATTTAATCTTTCTCCATCTATATTGATGCCCATATCTTGCCATTGAGTACCCTTAAATATTGACTCTAGAGCTGCCGTGAACAATTTTGGTGAAATATTGTCTCCTTGTCCAACTCCTCGACCTAAGCTGAATTTTTCTGTGTCTTCGTGCAGTCGTATACTTGATGTAGCGTTCTGATAGATGTTTTTGATTAGTGTCGTGTACCTGTAATCTATTCGGCTTTGATTTAGGGCTTCCAGTATTGTTTCAAACTCTACAGAATCAAAAGCCTTCTCGTAATCGACAAATGCAAGAACCAGTGGTATGTTGTACTCGATGCACTTTTCTATTAAGATCTTTATGGTATGCAAATGGTCATTTGTGCCATATCCTGCCCTGTTCTTTGGGCTGATAGAAATCAAGTTTAGGTGTTAGCCTCTTTGTTAAGATTTTCATAAAGAGTTTGTACATATGTGTCAAGAGGCTGATGGGTCTATAATTTTCTAATTTAGTAATATCGCCTTTTTTGTGTAACAAGACTATTACTGCATTGTTCCAGTCTTTTGGAATCGTATCCGCATGTAAGCATTTAGTTCGCTTACTGATTTTAATAAAATTTCTCCACCTGCTTATTGCCTCGATAAAGAGTCCATCATCACCAGGCGATCGATGGTTCTTCATTTCCTTTAAAGCTGCTCTTACTTCTGACACAGTAATGGGTAAAAGTATTTCCGATCCCTGATTTATGAGAGTCTTTACTCGTGTCGGGAAATTGTCTTGTGGTCTTTGGCTGGTATAGAGGTCTTTATAAAATTCTCTAGTTATTTTCAGAATGTTTTGTTTATCTGTTGTTGCCTTTCCGTCTTTATCTCTCAGCTTGTATATTTCTTTTTTACTTTGCGTAAGTTTTCTTTTCATTATCTTTAAACCTTTGTTCTCTTCTACTGTTTGAGTAATTACATTAGTATTATATCTTCTTACATCTTTTCTAATTTCCGCTGAAATTCTTTTATTTAGTTTTTTATATTCTTCTTTGTTTCCCTTTTCGTTCTCGCTTAGGTTTCGTCGTAATTCCATGGGAGCCCTTGTATCTTTGCTAATCTTTTCACTTTTGGTGTCATTTTTCTTGCAAAATTTGAGTTGTGCGTTTCTAACTGAGTCTGTTATTAATTTATTGTGATCGTCGATACTTAGAGGTTTGGGATTATTACTCTGTAAAGTTTCGGCTATATTTCTCATGTATGCTTCTGGATGATTTGGTAAATTCCAAACTATGCGTTTACAACTGTTTATCATCTTTGCTCTTTCTTTTTGTAGATTGATCGTTACTCTAGCTCTTACTGGTCTGTGGTCGCTTTTCGATTTCCTCATAGAAGGCTTCGACAATTTCATCTTCATAATCGCTGGTGGGGGCGTATACCTGGATTATATGGAACGCTTATTGCATTAGAAAAATTATGTAATGGATTCCGAACCAAACATGTTGAGCTATCGTTTATCACTTGATTTAAATCATTGACGAAATTCAAAAATAAAAGAGGACCAATGATACTTCGATGTGAAACTCCGGAAAGGACACTTTCCTCTGAAGAAAATTTTATATTCTTATTCACATTGACCTTAATTTTTTGAAACCTTTTCTATAAAAAAAGGTGTGAATCCACTTTAACGCAGTTCCTCTAACATCACTATGATAAAGTTTTTCCAGTATTATTGGATGATTTACAGTTTCAAAAGCTCGTCAAATTAGAGCTGGCTAATTAAATATTAAAATTAGTTCAAATTACTTGAATGTGATGTACAATATCGCCTTGATGTAATAGAGTAATTTTTGTAATATTGGCTAAAAATTTTTTGAACTACATTTTTTTTTTAATAATCAAAAATTTTTGCTGTGTTTTTATTTTATAATATTGTGTTTAAGTGCTTGTTTGATATATTTTCATGTATTTTGTAAGATGATACAGGACTTTTTAACACCTCTGTAAATATCGCCTCTACGCTATCGTGATATATTGCATCTACTTGTTAGAATTGAATTGCAAATATCAATATTTGATTTAAATTTAATTTTGTTTCCTAACTTTCTTTTATTTTTTTAGCCATAACAATCGGCAACAAATTCGGAGAGCAAACACAAACTTTCCATGCCACACATCCGTTCATGTTTTACATTGAAGAAGAGCTTAGCGGGACTGTGTTGTTTGTCGGCAAAGTTGAAAATCCCCTGGAATCTGATCCTCAACCCCTTGCGCCGAAGCCTGAATCGTAAAACGTGACAAAAAGAGATATTTTCAAATTCTGTAAATAGAAATATGTGTCACATTAATTTTTTACTTTATGTAAATGTGTAATATAAATTTTAAGAGTTGATCTTGGTGTGACATTAATCTAACTTACTTCATTTATTATAAATCATTATCCCATTATCTATCTATTTGATGAAACAATGTAATGAATGTAAAGAAATAGAAGAACTACAAACAAGATATGATATGAGAAATATGCACAAAAAAATTAGAGAAGTGACTAGAATGGGTCTAAATAGACAGAGAGGACACATACAAGACAAAAGGAGTACTGTTGTACATTTATATTGTCCTAATTTATTTATCTTTATTCTAATTTATTGTCTATATTCTAATTTATTAAAACTCACGATAACTAATTACTAATTTATTAAATAGCTGTACAAATTTATTTATGTCACGTTTCGTTACAAGTAAATCGCGTTTCCCGATCTTCTTATGACTGCCTAACAAATAAAAATGTGTCGTTTATATACAAAAACTTCCGCTATCTGGAAAGTTCGGCAACCTTCTACATTATAGTGGAATTCCATAGAATCATCTCGTATTTACGAGGCTCTCGTAGACAGAGCGGCAATGATCAAACAACTGGTATCGAAGCGGTTCCAGAAAACTCGTATTCGTCGCTGTTATAGCGAAGGGGAACCCAACGTGTCTCAGGTAGATTTTGACCTACAAATTACGAGAATCAATAAAAAAGAATTAGTCATAAAATATTTACAGTTCTATATGCCATAACATTTAAAATCGTAACAGTACTATTAATAGATTTACCAGAGAAATTAAGACGATGAGACGAGTACGTTAGAAAACTTTTCCAAGATGAAAGAGGCGAAATGCAGAAAATAGAAAAATTAAATCCTTTAGAGAGACAGAAGATCACGATAGATGAAATCAAATATGCCATCAAAAACTATAAAGACAATAAGGCAGCTGGATTAGATGAAATACCCGTAGAACTGTTAAAACTATTGGGAGAGGATAACTTGGAATATTGGCAGATTTATTCAACACGGTGTATGATACAGAAATAATACCACAAGAGTGGCTGAAGTCAGCATTTATAACCATCCCTAAAAAAACAAGCAGCAAAAGAGTGCTCTGATTATCGAATACTGAACCTTATGAGTCATACTTTAAAAGTACTGCTGAAAGTAATACCTAACAGAATATATACGAAAGGCTAGAGGAGGATATTAGCGAGACGCAGTTTAGGTTCCAAAATGGAATGGATCTTCTTCTTAGGGTTGCTATACGAAATAGCTGTGTTATGGTCTTTCTATACTATGCTCTTAGGTTAGCAAGCCAGGATATTCTTCTTCGTCCTGGGGCCCTTTTTCCTTAAATTTTGTTTTTCAGCCCTTATATGGTATTGGAAAACACTATTGTATCATCTGTATACCTCAGGTTATTGAGCTTGACTCTATTAGGGGTGAAATTATGCACCCATGCAATAAATAAACTCCTATTAAGATTTTAACCTGATCTGTATATTCCCCATCTATTCGGAGTACCGCTGATTAGCTGATAGCAGCAATGCCGGGATGTAAACGTTGATCTGCACTTGTGCTTTGTTGACTACGAAAAAGCTTTCGATAAGGTAAGACATGAAAAACTAATATCAATACTTATGAACAATCGCATTACGGTTGATGCAATGAACAACGCAATATACGGTAGTATAATGACCGATGCATCTAACCATGGAAACATTAAGATGTTACCGGTTGTGGTGAGATGTTTCGTTTCATTAGAAGGCCTGAGGACGAAAATATTGAATTTTACTGCTGAAGATGGGGAAACATCTGATATTATTGTGCAGCTCTTGAAGAACACTCTTGAGAAGTACAACATCTCAAGAGAGTTAGTTTCATTCTGCCGCGATAATACTAATACTAATTTTGGTGGTAAAAACCGAGGTGGGCAAAACAACGTTTACTACAACTAAAATCACAGGTAAATCCAAATTTGATGGGAATCGGTTGTGGGGCTGACATTATTCACAGCATTTTGCAATGTGGCTACAATATGTTACCATTTGAGGCAGAATTGAGGCAGAGTTTTGTGAAACTGCAAATGTTGAATACCAGAAAGTTCTTGGTTATGGGAAAACTCGCTTTTTGGAAATGTTCACATGCGTGCAATCAATCTTACGAGTTTATGATGGATTAAAGGCGTATTTTCTAAACTTCAAACAGCCTAAAATTACAGAATAATTTTTTCAAGGACCCATGTTTAAAAGTTTGGTTGTTGTTCATTCTTGATCAGCTAAAAGCAGCTTTACATTTAGGCAATGCAAGTCCCATGCTTTACAAGTCTGTCTTGCATGGCATATCTCTTGTCTGGCCTGTTTACACCAGAGCTATTTCTGTGCAATTTTTGACACCACTTTCATTGTTGCCAACAAAAGAATTATTCCAAAACATTACCTTTAAATATTTCACCTGGAAATTTCAGTTCACCATTAAATATATTAAAGTACAAATCACAAATTATTACATCCAATAAATAATATTATATAATATGTGATAATGTTCAGTTTTATTCTAAACTATAAATGTTATTATACTGGCAACATGAATTTTCATAGCAACTTGCAGAATAATAGTATGAAACCTTTAAACACGTTTTAATGTTTCCTATAGCACAGGAATTGCATGAAAATAGCACGTGGGCATGCTCTGTTGCATAATCTGTCTTGCTTGGCTCTTGAATAGCATGAAAATTGCATAATGTATGACCATCTCAAGAAACGTGTTCAAAATTTACTTTTTAATCACTTCATGACTTGAATACTGAATCTAACCAAATTGCAACAGTTTTTTTATAGGCTAAGATTTTCAATTGAGCAGTCTTAAGAATTGAAGGTGAAGAAGTACAGAAGAGGCACAGGCTTTGGACAATTTCCTGCAGTCGGTTGAAAACGAGTGGATTCACAGTTCCTGTCGTCAGCTGTATTGAACAAAGTAAACAAAGCAGACGCGGACCTCAGATATTGATAAACAAACATGTGTTGTAAACAGCCCTTCCATTTTATCAAACTTGCATCGATTATCTCGAGCAGTGGAAATCACAGTTTGAAGATGTACTCATATTTGGATGGGCTACACTCGCTAACGAGCCGAATTGGAATGAAGTCGAGGCAACTAATAAATTCATGGCAGAAAATAATTGGAATAGCGTAGAAGAAAACAGTGATAAAATTACAGCTTGGAACGAAAATCACACAAAACCACATCAACGCTGGGCCGAATGCTTTCAACACTTTGAAAAGAATCACGTTCCATACAAACGCTTTGCACGAGTTATTGAATTCATCTTTTGTTTACCAGCTACTTCTGCGAACGTCGGGCGCGTTTTTTGATTGATTGCAAAAATATGGACAACGGAAAAATCGCAACTTTGGCATTGAATTAATTACTATTAAACTGGGAATAAGCCACAATTAAAGATAAAAATACGTTTATTGACGTTTCAATTTCCACTTCGGAAATCGTTCTCAAAATACAAACAGTAAATTAAACAAATTTTGTTTTTTGTTACATAGTGAAAAATTCTTCTAATAAATAAATTTTATCTGACTCATTTATATTGACAGTTCAGACATACATTATGCATTTTAAAATTAAAGATCTATTAATAAACGGACCTTATACAAAATTAACAAAAGATCTAACAAAGCCTTTGGAAAACAAAATATATAGAACTTCATTCAAGTTTAAAGATGTTTTAACAGGTTATCAGAGAGGATTAATTACACCTCATTACAGTAAGACTCCTCATTTTTATGGTGTACCGAAAATTCATAAAACGAATATACCACTTAGACCCATTTGTAGTACCATGAATTCTCCTTGTAGAGAACTATCAAATTTTTTATTAAATATTTTAAAACCATTTACAAATAAAAATGACACATTCATAAAAAATACACAACATTTTTTAAATAAATTATCAAATATTGAATTTAATTCAAATCATACTTTGGTAAGTTTTGACATAAATAGTTTATTTACGAATGTGCCATTAAATAAGACTTTAAGTATAGTCAAGACAAAATTAGAGAGTGATGATTCATTGGCAACTAGAACAAGACTAAACATATCGGCTATAATGAAGTTATTAACATTATGTACTGATAATACATATTTTCAACTAAATAATGAATTCTATAAACAAAATTTTGGTCTAGCAATGGGCTCTAGTTTATCTCCATTCTTAGCCGATATATTTATGGAAGATTTTGAAACAAATATCATTTCTAAACAAAATTTCAAACCCACAGTATGGTGGAGGTATGTTGATGATGTATTCTCAATATGGCCTCATGGATCAGAGTAGTTGGACACATTCCTAAATGATATAAACGATAAAGAAGAGACAATTACATTTACCATGGAAAAGGAATATAATAACACGCTACCTTTCCTGGATGTTTTAATCTCTAAGAACGATACTGGATATGAGACTCAGGTGTATAGAAAACCAACACACACCAATAGATATTTAAATTTCAAATCAAATCACAATATTATTGTAAAAAAAGGGAATAATTAAATCCTTATACGATAGAGCCAAAATTTCTTGTTTTAACGAAAATTCGTTCTTGGAGGAGAAACATTTGTTAACTTCTGTTTTATTAAAAAATGATTATCCTTTGTCGTTTATAAATAAGGAATTTTCAACAATCGATCGAATAGAACAGAACAACTTAGAACGAGATCCTACAGCATACGCAAGGAATAATATGAGGAAAATAACAATACCGTACATAAAAGGACTATCAGAAAAACTTAAAAGGATAGGAAATAAATTCAACATTTTAACAACATTCAAAACAACAAACACGTTGAGATCTATTTTGTCCAAAACCAAACCTAACAATGAACAAGAAAGGACAAAGAATTGCATTTATAAAATACCTTGTGAATACGATCAGTTTTATTTAGGTGAAACATCAAGGCCATTAAATGTTAGAATAAGTGAAAATCAATCTTATATTAAAAATAGGGAATTTGATAGATCTCAAATCTGTAAACACGCATGGGATAATGAACATAG